TTTCATTCTTTTATATATAGATATCAGTTTTCCCCTGAACTACTTATTGAAAGTACTATCTTTCGTAATATATTTGTGTGTTGCTTTGTTATTAGTGATTTGTTTAAGGGGAAACTGATCTCTGGGTTCCTGTTCTGGTCCAGTAGCCTGTACACATATTTTGATGCCAGTGCTAATCTATTTTGGTTTCTATAGCTTTATACTATCTTTTTAAAGTTAGAAATTGTAATGCCTCTTGCTTTGTTCTATTTGCTCAAAATTGCATTAGCTATTTGATATTTTTTTTCTGTTTTCTATGACTCTTCTGATTAGTTTTATTGTGAGAAAAATTTAATTGCTCTTTCATTAGGGACTGTACCCAATATCTGTTGCTTAGGATTTATGAGCACTTCAATATAATTAATAAGAGATCTTTCTAATAGTGAACAAGGTAATTTTTCACTTGTCCATTCTCTTCAAAAGCTTTACCAGTGTTTTCTTGTTTGCACTGCAGAAAAAATGTATTACTTTTATAACATTTATTATTCAGTAGTTTTCTGTTGCTATTGTTGTTGTTTGTAGTTCTTATGAAGTAGTTTTCTTGTCAGATAGTTTGGCATTGTTGCAAAACAATGGCATTGATTTTTATATATTAATATTATGTTCTGCATTATCATTTTAAAAGATTTTTGTTATAATCCTTAAGGTTTACTGCACATAACATCATGTCTTATGCTGACGAGGATAGTTTGACTCCTTTCATAAGAAATTCTGTGTCCTTTATTTCTTCCTGTTGCCTTATTGTTCTTTGTCGGATCTCACAGTGGTACAGTGAATGAGACTGATGAGAGTTGGAAACCTTGTGTTGCTCTACGCCTTAGAGTTTAACTCTTTCAGGTTTTTCTCATTAAGCAGGTTAGCTGTGATTTGTCATGTTTTCTTAGTTATATTGAGGTCATTTGAATTTTCACCCAATTTTTTAAAGATTTTAGTTAGCATGAATGGATTATCAAATTTGTTAAATACTTTTGCTGTATCTATTGAGAGCATAGTTATTTCCTCCTTTTTTCAATTGACTGATGTGTTGTATTTATTGATTTGTAATTTCTCTTTATTTTGTATCCTGCTACATTAATAAAATCCTTGTTCAAATCTAAGAGTTTTATGATGGAGTCTTGAGAATTGTTAAAATACAGAATCATTCCAGTTATGGGTAATATAATTTACTTCTTAACTTAAAAGGAGATATAAAAATATAAATTTTCCATACTATAGCTTATTTCACATGCAATTTCTCTCAATATCATCAATTTATTAAATCTTTCTAGGTGCACTAAAGTATGATATATCATAAAACATTATTAGCAAGAAACTGTGATTGATATGACTAAAATATAGATCGTGCTTTGATTATAATTGCTTTTAGGAAGGCAAATAGATTTATGGGACTCTTAATTGAAAGGACATGTGTCCAATAGTCTGACCCTAGTCTATCAGGTCTTATCAAAACTGGCTATCTTAAGTCTCTTCTTATAGAGACTGGCTCACTTATGTGCCCTGAGGTTTTTTAATATTGTGTTTTATAACCTTTCTATTCACTGGTATCTTCATAGTGTAGATTAAAGCTTTCAACACAGGGTTTATGGCTGTAGAAAACACACTCAATGACTTGTTGATGGAGAAAAGTTGTATATAGCTTTTAACTGCTCTTTAGAAAATGTGTATACTGTTGTCACATCACTGGCACACAGGTTGTCATGGTTTTTAATAAATACCTATAGAGAGACACTATGAACATTGTTAAGGAAATTCTTTTAGTCTTGGTTTCTAACTTTAATTAGTACACTAATGTGATAACATAATTTATGTCTAAATATTATGAAGAAATTATTTGTTTAAAAGACTTATTTCAGATAATATTATTTACAATGATTCAAAAGTTAATGAAAATCTAACATGTTGAATAAGTGACATCAGTAACGTATCTAAAGTCATGTTTTACTTTCCTCAAAGACTAAACACAAGCATTTGGAAAATATAATGTGAATGACTTTAATTTAATTAATACCCTTTTGATTAAAATATATTAAATATAGAAAATAGAAAACTTGATATGATGAAAAGAAAAGAAGAAAAAGAATTACTGAAGAATCAAATGATAAACACAAAGGATTTTTTATGTTGTATCAAAAATAGTGACTTAATGTTCTCAATATCTAAATTTAAATGTGGCATATACATTCAATGTAATTACAGTCAAAAACCATTATGCATTTTAATAAAACTGATACCTTTTTGTCACCTTCTGAAACTATTTCAATATTTGAAAATATTGTGTAAATAAAAATTAGAATGAAAAACTTTTATTATTCCATTTCAAAAACTAATTTTTTGATGGCAAATAGTAATAAATGATTTAATTAAACATCATCAGTTAACCTAATTGAAATAGCGTAGATAGCAATATATAAGTACTTAGACATAAAATACAATAAAGATGTGATATCATCAAACTAGGAGAATAGCTACATTTTTTAGGTTTTAGTGTTTATTATTAAACATTATTTTGGCAACCAAAGAATTAAATAAACTTTACTATTCAATAAAACTTATAAACTTCAAAATAACACATGTCTTTTAATAGCTGAGTAGAAATGTACCACAATTTCTGTATCCATTCCTCCATTGAGGGACATCTAGCTTGTTTCCAGATTCTGGCTATTATGAATAGAGCTGCTACAAACATGGCTGAGCAAATGTCCTTGTTGTATAGTTGAGCATACTTTGGATATATACCTAGGGGTGGTATAGCTGGATCTTGAGGAAGCACTATTCCTATTTTCTGAGAAAACACCAGGTTGATTTCCAAAGTGGTTGTACAAGTTTAGTTTACTTTCCCATCAGCAATGGAGGAGGGTTCCCCTTTCTCCACATCCTCTCCAGCATGTGTTGTCACTTGAGTTTTTGACAAGGAAATCATGAAATTTGCAGGCAAATGGTGGGAACTAGAAAAGACCATCTTGAATGAGGTAACCCAGAAGCAGGAAGACACATGGTATATACTCACTAATAAATGGATATTAACCATATAATGTAGGATAAAAATAGCAAAATCTATAGTCCTAAGGAAGGTAAACAACAAGGAAGACCTTAGGGAAGATGCTCAATCCTCTTTCAGAAGGAAAAAATGCAGCAGACTTTGGAAGCAGAAGTCAGAGAACAGGGCAGGCGCCAACCACAGAGGGCCTTTGAAAGACTCCACTGGTCAAAGTATCAAAGCAGAGGCTAAGCCTCATAGCCAAACTTTGGACAGAGGGCATGGACTTTTATGAAAGAAGGGGGATATAGAAAGGCCTGGAGGGGATAGGAACTCCAAAAGGAGACCAACAAAGCCAAAAGAAAAAAGGAAAAATAAAAACTGAGCCCTGCAGAGACTGATACCCCAAACAAAGGACAATGCATGGAGAGGACCTAAAACCCCTGGCTCAAAGGTAGCCCATAGACTCAGTATCCTAGTGGGTTCTCTAGTAAGGGGTATGGGGTCTTTCTCTGTCATGAACTCAGTGACAAGCTCTCTGATCACCTCTACCTGGGAGATGCAGCGTTAAGCTACAGAGGAAGACAAAGCAACCAGTCCTGATGAGACCTGATAGGGTAGGGTCAAATAGAAGGAGAGGAAAACCTCTCTCATCCATGGAGTAGGGGAGGAGCATGGGAGGAGATGAGGGAAGGAGGGTGGGATTGGAAGGAGATTAGGGAGGGGGCCATAGCCAGGATACAAAATTTTATAAATTGTAATAAATTATAATAATAAAAAATAACACATGGTTATGTCAAAACCATATGATTTTCTTGATAAATTTGTAAAGATATTTAATGAAAATTTGTTTATAATAAATAAGTTAGAAGATTAATTAATAACAAATGGGATGTACAGTGGACATATGACAGGAGTCTACCACAGAAGGCATCTGAAAGACTCTACCTAGCAGTGTTTCAAAACAGATACTAAGACTCATAACCAAACCTTCGGCAGAAAGGGAGTTAGTATGACATGGAAAAGATGGGAGCTCCACAAGGACCAAATATATCTGGGCACAGGGGTCTTTTCTCAGACTGACACTCCACCAAGGACCACGTATGGATATAACCTAGAACCTCTGCTCGGATGAAGCCCTTGGTAGCTCAGTAACCAATTGTTTACCCATAGTAAGGGGAACAGGGACTATTTCTGACAGAAACTCAGTGGCAGGCCCTTTGACCTCCCCACCCTCCAAGGGAGGAGCAGTCCTGCTAGGCCACAGAGGATGACTTTGCAGCCAGTCCTGAAGATACCTGATAAAACAGGGTTAGATGAAAGTGGAGGAGGTCTCCCCAATCAGTGGACTTGGAAAGGGGCAGGGAAGAGATGAGGGAGAGAGGGTGGGATTGGGAGGAAATAGGGAGCAGGATACAGCTGGGATACAGAGTTAATAAAATGTAACTAATAATAAAAAAATAAAATTTAATTAAAAAATAACACATGATTATGTCAAAACCATGTGATTTTCTTGATAAATTTGTAAAGATATTTAATGAAAATTTGTTTACAATAAATAAGTTTGAAGATTAATTAATATTTATTAAGATTAATGATACAGCATAGTAAAACACAACTAGAAAAGACTGTGGTGCACATGAACATAAATAACTAGTAACTGGACTAATAAAGACTCCACAAATCTGATTATATTGGAAAATCATATATGGGAAAATGAAAAAACGTAAATATGTGGTTCATAGAAAATGGTAAAGTGGGATGCCAACTTTGCACATGTGACAATATGCTCAACTTCAGTGCCATGAGGAGAAAAAGAAAAACAGTTCATATCAGCATTTTACCATTGTCTTTACAACAGTATAAAGCATCTGACAATTTCAAGTGTTTTACCAATTTAGAACTTGGAACACACACTAAAAATTTGTATTTATTATTGTTTCTTTCTGATTAGTAATACAATCAGCAAGAAAAAAAATCTTACTCTATCTATATTTAACATTTTACACCAGATATTTTCCATAGAATTTTTAATCTCTGAATTTCTCAATGTATATATTAAAGGATTCAACATGGGAGTGATAGCTGTATAAAAAACAGAAATAGATTTATCAATAGGAAAGTTAGGAACAGGTCTAACATAGATGAAAATGCAGGGAACAAAGAAGAGGACAACCACCATGATATGAGAGCTGCAAGTAGACAGGGCTTTTCGCCGCCCTTCCTGACTGTGAGTCTTAAGTGAGCTTAAGATAATTCCATAGGAGAGTAGAAGAAGAACAAAGACTACCATACACATGGTTCCATTGTTGGCAACTACAGTGAGACCAATAAAGTAAGTGTCAGTGCATGCAGGTGCCAATAAAGGGTACATGTCACAGCCAAAGTGGTCAATGACATTAGATCCACCGAAAGGAAGTTCATATACAGACAGAATTTGAACCAGAGCATGTACAAAAGCTCCAGCCCAAGCTACCACCAAAAGTGAGACACAAATCTGTTGATTCATGATGGTTAAATAGTGCAGTGCTTTACAGATGGCCACATAGCGATCATAGGCCATCACCACCAGAAGGAAGACTTCAGCACCACCAAATAAGTGCTCTACAAAGAGCTGAACAAGACAAGCTGTGCAGGAGATGGTCTTTTTATCACAAACTAAGTCTTATTTATTTATTTATTTATTTATTTATTTATTTATTTATTTATTCTTATCAGTTACATTTTATTAACTCTGTATCCCAGCCGTGTCCTGATCCCTCATTCCCTCCCAGTCCCTCCCTCCCTCCCTCATCTCCAACGTGCCCCTTGCCAAGTCCACTAATAGGGGGGACCTCCTCCCCATTCATCTGATCCTGTTTTATCAGGTA